ATCTAGTCAGTCCTGTTTTGAAGTAAACCGTTCCTCATTTGACAAGTGCTCTCTCCGCTCCTGCACAGCAGTGTGGGATTGCTGGTGAGCAGCGCCCTCTTCCCCCCTTTGCCCGCAGGCCTGCAGTGCTGGACAAGAAAGGAGACCTGGCTACGCTCAACGAGGTAGGCTACCAGCTCCGCATCTAACAAAGCCATACGCTGGACAGAGGGCTTTCCTGGTGCTTCCCGCTGCACTTTACCTGCACTCCGTTGGAAGGAAAAAGGAATGGGACTATTTATTAACTTGTGGACTCTTACAATAAAAGGCTTACCTAGAAAATAGGAGGCGACTTTTTTTGGTGGCAGTATTTATTTTATTTCAATTCATAGGAAAGGCATCAGTGAAGAGAACCTAAAATCACGTTTACCGGGATGTAAGATTTTTTCCCTACGTCATGTAGCAGGTGACTCCAGTGGTGTGACTGTTTCTTCAAATACAGTTTCCCTGTACCATTATTAATTGAATTTGGGCATTCTGCTGGATAGTAGCATTAGGATAACTAAGAAATTGTACTCTTAGTGTTAAGATGTGCTGGGGTGCAGTGCAGTTTAAAAAAAAATAATCATATTCAGTATTGATATTTAATTCAGCAATAAAAACAAGCAGTGCAGAAGTGGCATGAGTCTTTCAAGTATCAACATTACCTCACTAAACTTATCAGATATGCAAAACTGTCAGTATTATTGTTTTGTAAGTAATTTGTACTGTTTCCCAGCATTTCTGGTAGTATTAAACCAGCACTGGATGTTTTGCTGCCACCTGTATTATTATTTTGTGCATGTTGCTGAAAGATGTTAAGTAATAGTAATATGCAAGTGTATTCTTAAACACTGACATCTTAGTAGGCAAGATACGAGGGTTTGGGTTTTTAAAATGATGATAATTGATGAATAATGAATTTTTAAACTTTCATAATTTTTTTATACTTGATGTCACAAGCTTTTAGTCTTTCTGGACTACACTGCTGAAGCACAAACTGTAGAGATCGCTGTTTTGTAGAGACAAGCGTTTACCTACCAGTCAGTTTGTTTCTTCTATGTGTTCCTGGAATAATGGCAAAAATGTCAGACTTGCGAACCGGAGTCTGCATGCTTTTCTTTCAAGATTTGTGTGTAACTTCAAACCTCGTCTTTGAAAGGCTGAGCAGTCTCAGATGGTGATGCCTTAACATCTTATATTAAGATCAGACATCGCAGGCTGAAGTTAACCTTCTGCCGTGCTGCTGTAGGGAGTTTTTCCTATATGTGTTGTAGTAACAACAACTTACAGACCTGCATAAGGAAGCTTGTATTGGAACAACTTCAGCAATAAATTAAATTGTATGCCTGAAATAGCTGAAAGCCAAGCTTGTCTGCTTCCTCCCTACTCAGTGCTTTTGTTCTAAGACTTAGCTAAGGACCTGGGATGGACGGCAGCGTTCTCAAGTGACGCGGTAAGACTTTCACTGGGGTCTGCCCTTTGTGTTAGTGAAGTTCTCTGGAAGCATTCAAGTGCTGCATTCCTGAAAATATTTCATTAGGTGCCTAAATAGAAACTGGATTATTGTACAACTCCAGCCTCTACCCTTTGTGCTGTGCTTATAGATACTGCCATGGGCCTTGTGTACCTCCCCTCCTGGGCAATTACTTGTTTGGGATCTTGCTGAAGACAGGACACTAACACAGTGATGATAATGCTTACTCAAATTGAATGATTTAAGCTCCTAGAACACTTATCAGCCAGCAATTGAATGAATACAGAAGGAGACAACTGCTTTTACACGGACCTCATTGCTCAAAGTCAATGAATCTCACTTACCTAGGACAGGAAGACAACACTGAGAACCAGCAGCCTTCTACAAACCGTGAAAGGCTTTCTCCTAATTAGATTTCAGAAGGTCTAGAAAGAAGACTTTTCAAATGTATTATACTTCTTTATACAAGATTACCGTATCAATTACAGGGAGGCCTTTCCCATCTCTCTTTCTGTAAAATTTCCACTCCTGTGTTCACAGTAGGATTTTTTTTGGTTCAGGAGTGAAATTGAAAAAGGAAAATACTCTTTTGGTAGAAATTGTTGTGTAATTTGACATAAGCTGCAGAGTTTGTTTTAAGGAAAATACTCTTTTGGTAGAAATTGTGAAATTTGACATCAGCTGCAGAGTTTGTTTTAACTTTGTGCTGCTCAGTGTCTTGTGACTGGAACTTTTTTTCCCCACTTATTCCTTAGACTTCTCATGGGTAAAATGATGTAAAAAAACTTACTTTGATCAGTTGTATCTTATAGCACAAGGTTATCTGATATGTTGCAAGTTGTTTTTCTATGAAACCATGGTGGTTGGTATATAATTTTTACCATTGCCCAGCACAATTTGAGTTATTTTCTCTTAATCTCTAACTTAATACTGAAACTTTTCAATGCTGTGTGGTTCTTGTTTTGAAGTTCAGCTGAAGTATTCTCTTGAAACTTGCTTATGATGGCATTTGTCTCAAGTGTGGTTCTTGTGACTGTTCTAACTTACTGCAAAGTGGTCAAATAGCGTAGAAAACATGCATGACTTTTTTTAATCACTTGTATGTTTATGCACAGCATGAAACTTCAATAAAATATCATCATAGTCTTTTTTTTTTAATGACTTAGAGTTATTTTTTTGTCCTGTCCAGGTTTCTGTTCCAGAAAAGATCTAAGTCACTTCTAGAATCAGGAAAGAACAAAAGCAGATTTTTTAAAGATTGTTAAATATGTGCCTCATTTATTATTCTACAAAGACTGAACATAGAGCCCTACAGCTAACCATTAATAGCTTATACAAAGCAAGACTGAAACAAGTCTCTAAACCCTGAAAATACATTGTTATGGAACAATAAACACCCCTGAACTAGCAGCACTGATGCCTGCATTGTGTCAAGCAGCTTCTGCTCTTTTCTTTCAGTAGTGCCTTGGCCCCTTCCCCATATTATTGTCATCAAAATGGGGGAAAACACTTGATGTGACAGTTTCCCCTTTTATAAAGGAAACTGAATTATTATAGTCTTTTAATAATAACATATATTAATGAAGTAGAACAAATATCTTACTGCCTTAATGGTTTCATGTGGTAACCAGGGAAGCGGAGTATGTTTTTCAAAAGGCCATCTTTACAGATTTGAGGAATTTGGCCATTTTAAAATGTCACAGCAACACACAACAGCTGAATACAAGCCAAATATAGAAACCATTAATCAGCAAGTCCAAAGCCTTTGCTTTTTAATTAACATAAAACTTAAGATTGAAATTAGCACTGTAAATAACTAGGATTTTGGCCTGGCCAAAACAATGCTGATCTATGTAAAAGAGAATGGAACCTCCACTTTGGAGAAGATGAGGCTTTACACAAGCCTGAAAAGTGATGCTAAAGTTGAGGCAGAACTTCTATATTACCCACCTTCCCCTGTTCAGCTGCCTGTGTGCTGGTGAGGGCGCAGACACCTAGGATCTCACATTTCTGTCTGTGATGGAGACAACACAACAGGCCCCCAGGCTAGCAAAGTTCCTTGCTTTTAACACAGACTACAAGGGTTGCTACAGCTGAACAATGTTTTTAGCTGTAACCTGTAATTACACAGAAGTTTGTTGCATTTAGTTAACTATGTTTGCATCTGTCAGCTCCAGCTTTGAGACTATTCAGACACCTTAAATCAAACCACATCCGGTATTGAATAGGTAGTCATCTTCAGCATTAACTTGACTCTTAACAAGGAGTACAGGAAAGATCCTCAGTCACAATTACTTAGGAGAAAAATAGCAATTTAAGCTGAATGTTTTGGTAGGCAGGCATATCTTTCAATGTAACACTGAAGTACTTTTTCAATTCAACTGGTTTTGCGATTACCACCACTGTACTTCCTGCATTATTCTCACAGCACAAAATAATCACAGTTCTAATTCTGCAGTCAGAAAAGGAAACCCAGGTGAAAATTCAGCAAACACTGTTGGAAAGGAACAAACAAGTGTTCCTGGGAGAAAAACACATCTGAATGTGTTTTCAGGAGCACAGGTTCAGGCTTCCCAGTGCTACACTGAAAGACAATTCTCTGTTACTTTTAAATTGGTTTTACATACATGTCTCTATGTAGTCTGATCAAGTCACAAGACTTGTTTCCAGCCTCCCTCACTCCCTGCAAATTTCCTATCCAGAAAGTCTTTGGTTTTTTATTTTGTAAAAAATATTTTGTAACAATATGTAGTCATATCTCATAATCAGTGCATTATGAGAGTAAATATAAAATATTGATCATTTAATACTTCAGGATCTGTCATTTACATATACAACTTGACTTTTTATAACTAAATTGAGAAAAAACCCACATCCCCCACTTGTTCAGTATACACAAAGCCTCAAGATGTCAAGGCTGAATTTTTTCTCCTACAGCAGATGATCAATTAAGTTTCCCATAAGGTTGCATGCTTATTAAACTTGGGTTTTATTTTAGGTATGTTTAAGAAGATTCCAGTGAGTGCTACCCATATTTAAGCTTTTAGAGGTGTAAGAAGTAAATTTTAAAAACCTAAATATTTGTCTTACTGAAAAGCTATCATCTTCTTCACTTGAAGTCCAGTCTTGCAGCTTCTGCACTGACTCCACTCTAGGTAACTGAGGAAATTCCATTGCAGAAGTGTCTACAGAGCACCTTTGTGGTAAAATATTATTTACAGCTCATTATAAGATGTGACATGCACAAAAACTCACTCCCATTTGCTTGAAGAAGCACACAGTTCTCAGAGAATAAACAGTTTTTACTATGATTTACAATAAAAACCATTTACAGCATCTCCATGAAAAATAATGCCATTGAGACTGGCACAGATGTTTTCCATTATCAAAGAGGAAGCTAATGTAAAATCTTTTCTTTTTGCCTTAAAGACTTCATAAAGTAATTTAAACGTTTAAAAAAAAAGTCTCTTTAAAAAGTCTACTTTACACAACACTAACAAATCAGCATGCAGGCAAACTTATTTAAACCAGACCAGCAGTGCTTGAATTAACCTTTAAAAAAATAACAATAATCACATGAAAAGAGAAGGTGAAGATAACTACCTACACAAAAAGTCCTTTGGATATTACCGTTCAATAAGCCTGAACTCTGCTAGCAATGGCAGGTGGTCAGAAGAATTCTTTTCATTGGGAAGACCATTAACAGTCCAAAGATCTTTCTCCGTTAGAAGTGCCAGCCTGCCAAGAAGTTTCAGACCTCCATGAAAAGAATCCTCTGCTCCTGGTTTAAAAAAAAAAACCAACACAACAAACAACAAAACAAAAGAAAAAAGTGGAAACATTCATTAGTATGGGCTAAAAAAAAATAATCACAAATTCATACATATGCAGAAAGAGGAAAATAGTATGGCAGAAATAATCTGAAATCATTATTGTTCCATGCAAAATCACCAATAAGGTGGTTTGGAAATTCTTGTTTACTATTACACTCTCACAGTAGGACTTGTTATCGGTAGAGCTTAAAAGACTCTGAAAGACACTACCCCTCCATTTAGCAGAGGGATAAATTAAGGTAGAAAGGTAAAGTGCTTTCTTTGTTCATTGTAACTCCCCTGAAAAAAGCATCACACAATCCAGTCCCATACTCTAGCACAAAAGCATTGCTGAAGAGAGCTGACACTTGCAAAATTAAGGATCTTTTGAGAGTTACTGGTTCACATAACATTTTATTTCTGCATCCTCAAACACACAGCTCTCCAGCAGGCAAGTCATACAGGAACTCTTGCTCATAAGGATGAAAGCTTTCTGGCATTTCCCTTCCTAACAGTTCATCATAAGAAAGGGATCTTCCTCCATTATTTCCTGATACTTATTTCTATAATTGCCAAAAAACCCCACCCCACCACAAAACCAAAACACCCCAACGAACAAACAAAAAAACCCACACACAAAAACAGCCGAGCCCCCACCACACACACAGAAGAAACACCACATTGCTTATGGAAGAGGGGAAGTTGACTCACAGGCATGCTATTATTACACTAAACTTAAAATATTTGTGTCCTTATTAAAAAAACCAAACCCCCTAAAAAACCAGAAAACCATCAGCAAAGAGTAACAAGCTTTTTCCAACTCAAGTAAAGAAATTCCACTGAGAATGAGATCCTTCCCTGACATGTTAAACTTCTAGACTTCTTGAGCTATCAATTTCAGCGAGATGACTATTCAGCAACCCTAGCTATTGCTTTCAGGGCGTAGAGATGGTACTGAGCAGGTTGAGCGCTTTCAGGACCAGCACAAATGGCAGCTGTAACTTTGACAAAAATATTTTCTGTGTGAAAGTGATCAGCAATTTCAGAATTTCCTGGCTGAACCTGGTCCTGGCTCACCAGTAGGCATATTGTCAAAGATTATCCATCAAGTGTTAAACTCCTCAGACAGTTCAACAGCTTCATTCCTTTGCCATCTGCCAGCTTTCCAGTCCTCTAACAACCTAGCAGTTGTTTACTGTTGCTCTGAAGAAAAGGTTTTTTACTGCAAAAATGTCTTGGTAGCTCTAGAGCACCTGTCTGCCCAGCTCTTGAGCCAAATCTATCATTTGGCACAACACCTGCATGTCCACAAAGGAGCAGTTTGTTGCTGCAGAGAGCTTGGTCCGCATGCGGTGATTAGCATCAGCTCAGAACACTCTGGAACCGGCAAAACTGAGTCCTGCAGGACTGAGGTAGGTACTGAACCCTGCTTTCACAGCAAATCCTCAATACCAAACCAAATACTCGGCTAAGCATGACACAGACTAAAGCACAAAAACTTCCCCAGAAAACCCCCTTTCACTGGAAAAAAAGTGATCAGCCTAGATCGCATTTAATACTCACTTGTCAGACTTTGACAACTTTTAATACAGAAGCCTGGGTCATCAGAAAACTGAAAATCTAGACTATTAGTTAGTTTCTAAGAAGTAACGAATAAAAACCTACACCAGTTTAAACTACTTGGAGAATTCAAGTTTGGTGCCATTCTGCACTCTGATGAGAGGTGAAGAATCTATTTGAAGAACAACTGCAGAAAGAAAAAGTACTATAGCTCTGCTGGCGCAATGATGGTGCAACAAAACATATAAGCAGGTGAATTAGGATTAAATTTTGTACAGGGATGCACTCTGATATCACACAGCACTCCATTAGATCACACAGCATTCAGAAGTCATTTAGATACTGCTCATATCCTAGTTTTTCAGTCAAAGCTTTGATTTCTGTATCGTGAAGCTTTTGTATTTGATATTTCACACTAAGCAGTTACTGTGCATGTTATGACAAATAAGACTTTGGGGCATTGGCTCAATGAATTTTAACAATCTAATCTTAAGGTATGAGAGATGAAGGTGGTATTTTAATTTCGTATCCTGAAAAGAACGTTAATTTGTAAAAATCGGTTGCAATCTATAGGAGGAGCAGGAGTGGAATCCAGGTTTCTTTGTTCTGCAGAGTTCTGCAGAGTTATTTATCTGGCAGCACTGCACTGTGCAATGACCTTTGACGATGGCATAAAACACAGAACTAGTGATGACATGGAAAGCGCAGTGCTCAGAAGTATCCACTATAAGGGCACAAATTCAGTAGAGGACAGCACTGTGATACCCATCAAGAAATACATCCACAGAGGTACCACGTCTTTCTTGCACCATCTGGTGAATTTCAGCTGCAACTGCAATCAAGAGAGTGGCATCTGGGCATGTGCAAGTGACAGCTCTCCGAGCAAAGTCCACAGGTCATTTACTTCACAGACATTCCATCAAGACTAGCTGAAAAGTAACTTTCTAAGAAGCAGTTAACTTATGATGGGCATTAACACTGATAAGTTGCCATTCACCATTTTGTTGATTAGATGACTGCAAACTCTGCGTTGTTGTAGGTCCGACCACTCAGGTCCTGCACGAGTTACTGCCGGCAGTGTTTCTCAGGTGCGACTTACATTGCTGATTTTCTGTAGCCTCAACTCGTCTCCATGCTGAGATGGCAACCACAGGAATGTTCCGGTAGGTGAAAAAGTTTGCCCTGTGTGGCACTACAAGTCCAACTGTGGTGAGTCAACAAGGCCAGCAGCCACGTTTCCCAGGTAACAGCTGACATTCAAAGCACTACCACGAACCTCTGAGGTACTTCATATGGATTAAATTATCACTACATTTCCCTTAGAACAGCATCCGAATGCTCCCATTTAGCATTTGTGAAAAATAATTAACAGTTGGTTTCTTTACCTGGCTGGGCAGTAGTATCATCGTTGGCTGCAGAATAGAAGATATAATCCACAGTGACAGCACTCCGGGAGTGACAAGTTGTTACTTCTGGTATCCCAGTTTCAGGAAAGTAATGAGAATAGACTGAAGACAATTTAAAATGGTGCTGCAATTTTGAAGACAACCTAAACAGGAATCAAAGAAAGTAATTCTATTTTCTTGTCTTTCCTAGAAAGAATAAGCAATGAAGAAATACTAATAGTTCCTGGTTACAAACAAAATTAATTATCTGGATAGGCAAACTAAAGTTTCTCTCATGCAATTGATCCCATAGCCTTTTGTGTTAGTAGCCTAAACCTCTGAAGGCAAAATGCAGGCAGCTTTTTCAGTAAGAGGCAGATACCTAAGGGCCTACCAAAACTGGCTTAACTGACACTTTAAATATACATAGCCTTCACCTCCATTTACACTTTGTAAGATTTCACACGTGTCCTCATTCATCAATCTCTCCCTGACACATGGGTAGAAGTGTCCATGACAGCAGCTTATACAAAAGCAACAAACTATGAACTCATCTAACCAGGCCCTTCAACATACAGAGAAATTAAGATTTTTATTTTTGTTTCTCTCCTAAACTAAAGCTATCAAGTGTTTTCAAGTTAGGCGACCCCTAATCTTCTTTCCTCTGCTTAGGCTCCCATTTTGTCTTTCCCCATCATCTGTCTGTCTGATCCTCTTCAGTTCAGCCCATCTCGTCTCACCTGTTTTTTCAATCTTGAAAGCAAACTGCAAAACTGCACCTTTGAGCAAAAGAACTCCTCTCTCCCTCCCAGCCACTGGCTCTCATCAGCTCTGCAAATCATGCATCCCTCAGCCGTACCTGCCTCACCTTGCATGGCTGCATGTTAAACCTGAGCTGCAATGTGTTCTGGTTAAAAACCAAGCAATTAAAAAAGAAAATATCAGCATGTCACTTGCCTGACTTAGAGAAGACTGACAAACATGCCAGTTGGTACAACACGGAAGAGTGGTAATTTCTGTTCTTGTTACACAACATCCTTTTTAAGATGAGGCAAAAAAACCCCTGCAAGCAGCGTCCAACACGTGGCATGCTACGGATTTACACTGTAGAATAGGGTTTCCTGTCTTGTTACCTACTTCTTTTCTCAGAAATGCCATTACTTAGCTTTTTGATCACCAAGAATCACTAAATGTTTTAATACAACTATCTACAGTGATACCAAGATCTCATTTCTGATAAGAAATGGCTGACTTGGAGCCTGTCATCACACACACACAGTCAGGGCAATTTCATTCTTCTGTGCCTTAATTTATATGCCTTTACCAGTTTGGTAAATGCAGACTTACTCTTCCTTTCAAAAAGCAGTTACATTTTCCTTCTCAGCAGTCTAGTGGTGGCTTCCTCCTTCAGTTTAACAAGCAAGAACACACACTCTTCCATTATTTCCAGTTCTAGTTTTTTTGCTGTCTGATCAGCCTTCTCATGTTTAAATGGAAGATGACTTTTTTATCAGATAAGCAGACTGGCTTGGGTAAGCATCTTGTATCCATGTCTGTAATCAGATACAAGTTTGGTCTAAAACCAAAACAAACCCCCAAAACTAGGAACCAGTGAAGGGCTTCCATATTTTTTCCCCCCAACACATACTTTTCAGATGCTATTACAACCTCCTGAGCGTTCTCCAGTTTTGCTGCTTCCAATTTTTCTCCTGCAAAATAAAAATACATTCAATTTACATTTAACAATAGGATGTAGGTGAGACCAATATTGAAGAGCTACAGAAAAGAGAAGCTACATAAAATAGTATCTTTAAGTACGCTTATTTTTTGTGGCAGGTAAGATACAATTCACAAAGCTGGATTAAATTCTTGTGTTCCATTAGTAAGATTCCCTTCCAAAGACTCTTTCAAATTATGTCCCATTCGTTTAAAATTGTTTTTTCTGTCAAAGAAAAAAAATGGTGGCTGAAAGATGTAATAATATTCAGCAAGGAATCACTTGCTTTTCCCCACTTGTTCCATAAAATGCTTGCACTATAATACATAAACCCTGAAGCAGAATGTAGGTTCACGCTACATACGTGTGCTGCATGGCTCCATCTCTTTTCCCAGTCACAGCACAACTGGCTCTCATGATGCAAACACAGCAGTTTAAATATTATGCACCAGTTCCTGAATGGCAATTTGTAACTACTACCTTCTGAAGATTCAAATTTGCAAGTGCTTGTGTGAACAAATAACTTTACACTCTAATGAGCCCAACAAGGAAGAATGAGCCCAACAAGGAAGTTTTGCAAGCTAAGACTCAGTGGTTTTCCCCCACTAGAACAGATCATCTGTTTTTCAGTGTTAACTGAATGATATTTTCAAGGGACCACAAAATTCATCAATCTAGAAACTGACCTGCATTTTCTTCTTTTTGTTGCTGTTTTATTTCATATACACAGTTTTGCGAAATACCCAATTTTTTTGGCCAAATAGGTATAGATAAGATTCTTTGCCCCCTTGGAAACTGTTCTTGTCCAGAGACCTAAGAAAGATAACATGAGCTTTTTTTCAAACAGAAATCTGATTAAAAAAATAAAAATTTAAACTTTATAAAAGATGTCCACTCATTTCAAGTTTTAAGCAAAAAAGCCCCCAGTCCCCTAGAGTAAATCTTCTATAATGGCTTGTCAAATCTGTGTAAAAATAATAACATCCCTTATGTACACCTGCTTTCTTTACTCCTATCAATTTTTTTGCAGCTACCCGATTTTTCAAGATAGTTCTTGTGACACAGAGCTGAGACACTACCAAGAACACTTTTAGCAACATAACAGGATTGAGTATATATGGCTCCCTAGCAGCCACTTTATCTTCATGATGCTTTTCCTCTGGGAGCAAGTAAAGTCAAAGTGGGGCTTGAAACAACTACCCACTAGCAAGAAACACCAGTGGAGCTATTTTGTCATGTTTCCTCATTGTACATACTCCAGTTACTTTCCATTAAATAGCATTTGACACATCCAACAGCTACATACAAGAACTTACAACAAAAAGTAATACAACCCGAAACAGTTAAAGGTTCAGCATCTAATTGCATTTTTGCTTTTACAATTATTCTAGCCACTGCAATTAAAAGTTTATCTAAAATAAGACTCAGCAGGTATTTGATTAAGTAGTTATTTTATCTTACTTAAAGACTGGGACACTTAAGCACAGTGATACAATCATCCTGTGGATAACTGCCTTTCAAGAACAATTAATTTGCTTGCAAGTTTTTAATTTCAGAATGCTAGAAGCAGACACAATATTCTAAGGCACAGCTAATATACCCAAGCTTATTTTAGTAACTCCACAGTAACTTCCACTTTGCAGACTGCATATAGGGCACCAAGATTGGTACCGCAATGGAAATAATACAAGCCCAGTTATGGCATGCTATCACCACTCAAGTATTTCTCTTTAACCAGCATTAACCTTTTTGTTTGGTGAGAAGAGAAAAGCGTAGCCTACCTTTCCTATAGCAAGTCCTTCATAATTTAACTTTCCTTCCTTTATAAATCTGTACAATGGAGAACCAGGAACAGAATTGAAGTCACCACAGATGATAATTGGACAGAAGGTACCATCCTTCTGAGGGGCAACACTAGCAATCTCTGCCAGGAGCATTGCAAGTTGGGTCAGTTTGATGTCCCCTCGCCTTGGGTTATACAGCAGATGTGTATTGGCTATACAGATTGCAGCATTAGTTTTACAATGAAATTTAGGCTGCAAAAGTAACACCAGTCCAACGTTGTCCCTGTCCAAAAGTGGAATATCACGGCGAAAAAATTCCACGGGGTTTGATGAGATCAGGCTAAATTTGGAAGTTTTGAAGCAAATAGCACAGCCATCAGGTTTTCTCCCCGTCCTCATTTTATACTCACAGTGATACCCTGCAAGAAAGGCAATTAAAAACATAAAATACCATTGATATAAATATTTTTTTTAAATTAGAAAAAAAACTCACGCTACTTTTCTCACATGGCAGTCAACACCCAGTCAGAAGTACCAAAGACTATGGAAAGTTCACACAGAAAAGTGAACACAACAGACTTTCTGTCCTGTCTAGCTTCAGTTTAGATACTGCAGGAAACCTGGTCTAGTACCTTTTGTGATGTGTAAGCATCTACGTAGCTTAAGATACCAGGCATGTTCTTTTCTCCTCATGAGGAAAAAAAGCCAAACCAAAATAACAAAAAACCCCACAAGTCATATAAAAGTTTTTTCTGGATTTTACCACAATGGTTTAGGAATAATACCAGTGAAACATTCCAACCAAAAGCCATAATCACTCTAAGTCATAAATCACTTCTAAAATGATTCCTAGAACAAAGGTCTCAAACATAGTTACACAATTATGTTATTATCCAGTTAGCAGCAGGAGGCAAGGTTTCAACCGGGAAATTGAGACACTTATCAAATGACAGTATCGGAGTTCAAACCAGTCCCCCTGGAAAATAGCAATTTGCAAAGTTCTTCATTTTATGTAGAGGTGAAACACAGATTTTAATAAGACCTTATCCATGCAAGAAAAAAACTAAATGATCTTGAAACAGTATGTAGTTTTCGTCATTTTAAAATGCTTCTCTGCCCAGCCCATGCCAAATGACTTCATGAAATACAGCCCCATGAAGTGGAGTGAGGTGAGCTCACACCAGTGCTGAAACAGGGGATTCCCATGCCCCTCTCCCAGCTCCAGGCTATGTGCTCCTACCACTTGTTGTGGCACTTACTCTTAACTCAGTAAGCCAATAGAAAACTCATCCAGGAAAGTAAAATTAGTCTGGATAATATTCTCCTGGACTGGTGGATTTCACCAGTGTAAAGGTCTAGAGAGTGCCAGAACTAGCCCAGGAGAAGGGGCAGGACATGCATCTGGGAGCGGGGAAAGAGGAAGAACTCCAGCAAGTTCCATATCCTCTTGTGGAGTAGCAGGAAGCTCAGTTGCCCACAGCAGCCTGGCCTTACAGTGTTGTTTCACATTTCAAGTGGATTTAAATCAGTACTGCCATTACTCTACCTTCTTTACAAACACTCAATTCTGGGAACTAGACTACCTCCAACCAACAAGAAAGAAAAAAGCATCAGTCCAGTGCTGGTCCTTGAACTGTCTCCTCCTGGCACCAGACAAGTACCAGTGCCAGGAACACAGCGGGGCCCTCGGACCAGAAGGCGGTGTAGGGCACAAGATATTTAGACTGGTTCAAACCACCATGGAATCACACTCCTAGCAGCATGTTCCTTACCATAAATTCATGTGGGAGAGTGATAAGATAGTACTAGTACAAGAACTACTGACCATGGATAAAATTCAGTGCTGATATTTGGAAGGTTTCAAGCCAGAAAAAACATGCCCTAGAAAAGCTATCCAATGGGAATACTGGTAGAAAACACTAAGGTAGTTTCAAGAGAGCACTTGATGAATTTTTAAAAGGGGGTACACAACCTTGTTGCATGTGATAGCAGGAGACTTGATTCTATAATCTAAGAGAGGTATTTTGAGGAACATACTGGGGTGAGGAAGAAGAGAATGTATTGGTCACAAGAGTTTCATCATACCCAGAGATTCCAAACTTGACTTGATCTCTGTTCTATAGTGGTCTTCTTGGACTTCTTGTAAACAGAGTACCTAAAGCAAAAGTTTGCAATTAAAAGATATTAGCAAGTACATCAAAATATCACCATATCATATCTCTGCTGGCCAGTCTGTATAGGTATAAAAAAAAAAATTAAAAAAATTCTGAGGCTTTTTGCCTCCATAATCCCATGACAGGACTCACTCTCCTGCACAAAATGCTCCTTCAGATTGTGAAGAAAGCCCCACTTCCTCCCACCCTTTCTCAGACAGACATACATTTTCAGATGTGAAGTTAAATTTAATCAAAGTAGTGACGTGCTAATACGTTCTCAGCAGTTTAGGAGAAGGCTAAATGCCAGAGCAGTGGGATGAAGAGGCCAAGGGCACACTTTTCATTAACTACAGCGTGGACAAGTTTCCATATTATGACAACCTGAACCACAGATTAACCTCAAACCCCATGAAGAGAGTTCTGAGCATCTTGGAGCCTTCTCCCTGCACACTGCAGTAACATACAGATTTACAAACCCCCTGGGGCTCTGGCAAAGAACTGAGTTCCTGAAGGTTAATGAGTTAGCACTGCCGGCTGAACTACAGCAACAGACTTCACTTACCCAGCTGACACTAGCTCATTCCCAAACAAGACTCAAATTTTAGGCAATATTGACTATAAAGTCTCCACTTTCAGGTTACAGTTCAAAACAATGAATTACTTAGAAGTCTATGTCCTTTAGCAAGTAATTCCTCTGCACAAAGGGCACCTGCACCTACTAGGGTCTGTGAGCAGCTGCTGATCATGACTCAATACAAGGCATCACCTCTTTACCCCAGTGCTGTGTTGTGTGGCCCTGCGGACTTTAGCAAGTACCCTGAACTGAACTATTCTTTACTAGAGGGGCTGTCTTTGGCTCTAGCCCTTCCATGCTGGAGAACTCTCTGCTACCACTAATAGCACCAGGCAGATCCTCCCCAGAGTCCCTCTAGGTGGACCTTTGGCCTATGCAAGCATAGCTGTCCTTATACTCAATGCCTTATTTGCAGCACTCTACTCAAGTGTGCTTTAGGCACACACTGAGAAATATTTATGTGAAGAAAGAAGGTGTTTGAATTATTAAAAAAAAAAAAAAGCAGCTTATCATCAGAACCTCAAAGTCATGTCAAAGACCATTACAGGAAGTTCTGGACAAAAAAAAGGCAACTATGAGCGATATGTACTGCAGAGTTTGGTGCTGCTGTAAGTTCAAACCGCACAGAATCCACTAATTGCATAAGCACAGATCAAAACTACTGTTAAGCATGATATAACTAAAAGCTCAGTTGGATTCACTAGACAGCCCACCTATCAAAATAAAGAACAGCAACAATTTGCTACTCCAGTTTATCAGTTCTTAGGAAATATCCACATGCTCATTTTCTACTCACATCCGCATCCAGCTGTTTGATTTCTTGTAGGATGTTGGGAAATCTGTACGTCCAGATTAACAAGCGTTGCCTGCAGTGTTTGTACAGGTGGGAGTTATCTTCTAACAAATTCTGTGAGAGGATATTGTAGGACATGACTGTAAAGTCAAATTTTGCCTCACTTTCTGTGTTGCTTTGGTCAGTTTCTTTATTTTCAAAGATTTTCATTGTTCTACTGTGCTGACAGAAATATTCCCAGTGTCTTTTGATGGTTCCTGTTAAAAGCACACAAAACAGAAAAAGTTATGTAATAGACCACGACTTCTTACTGCTCTTAGAAATTGTTCTACTGACAACTATGTCTTTCAAATTGCTTAAGCAATGCTAAAAGCTGATTGGATTAGCAGTGATTTAGACCCTCTGTTTAAGATGAAGTTTATATAAGCATCAGTAAAAAAACAAAACAACCCCCAAAACAGAGCACAAAATGATTATACGCTCTGGATTTCAAACTGCTTTGAAATTAGGAAACTGGCATGTTCTAAGTAGATTGTTGCAGTCAGACTATACCACCCTGCTCCCTGTAGAAAGGCTGTCAAGCTGGTAAGACAAATCCAGTCTGTTGACATAGTCTTACACTACCTTCTGCCACTACCTACTCAGTGAAGATGGGGTATGTCAGTCTGGGAAACACCGTATAGAGCAGCATATGGGCATCTTGTTGATCTCTCTATCCAGGACTAACAAAGGGTTAGAAATAGAGGTTCATCTCTAGACTGTGCAGTCTGACAAACTCAGCCATAAGCTGCAACAGGGTTTATTACAAAGGTCCCAAAACAGATAGTGAACTTGATTTCCCTCAGTGAGATTAAGAAATTAAAAAATTAATAAGGTTCAGAATTACCAAGAACTTCTGAAAAGGTTTACTTTGCCTTTCTGGCATTCCTAGTTTCATACTCATTATTAATATCATTATATGAAAGTTTATAAGAATATATCTGCCCAGCATTAAGCATCCAATTATTTTTCAGATATGTATTTCTCCACCTACAAAACTCATGAATGAAGATGCCTTTGAGCCTTTATGTCCCAACTCCTCTGAGAGCATGCAGAGGTCCAGTTATCCATGCAATCAACTAGTGGGTGATTGCAGTTATTGCTGTTGGTATCTGCCCCATTTGGGTAGTAAATTTCATCACTGTGCTTCCATTATTCAGGACTTTATCTAGTATTTCCAACGAATACAGCAAAGCTTTAAGCACCATTTCTATAGTGGGAGAGAAGCTGCATCGCTCCTCAGCAGGTATCTTTAACTACTGTCACCTTACAATATGTGACCAAAAGATAACTAGGAAGGACCACAATGCTAACTACTCTCAGATAGAGATATGTCAAAATATACTCGCTAAGGGGGTTGAGAGAGGACTCAGCAATAAAGGCACAAAGCAAACTCCCTTCCTTCAGCTCCTGAAGACGAGTATGATAAGGCTTCTAAGCCTTAAGGATATTTGTGTCCAAAAATCCCCTTGGGATGCTGATGGCATCAGTCGCCCTTTTCAGTCATAATACAACTTCCAGTTTATTTTGTTAAGGAAGTGATTTATGCAAGAGAGGACCAATTTTGACTGTGTCCTTCTACTTGTTTCACAGTAGGCAAAACTATAAATATCTGTGATAGTAAAACATTTGGGTGCTATAAGCTGAAGGAGACACTTTCAAGTTTCATGAAAGTCTGTTACTGAGTTGGGTAGACATCTTTGCATTTCTTACTGTATTTATCTGGAGAAGCGCATTTGCTGTTTGCTGTGCCAGTCATGGTCTGATACAAAACTTGCTAACATGCCAGTGGCAGAATACAGTTGTACAAACAAAACCACACAATCACACTGGAGGCAAACACTGTTCAACTTGGTTATCTAGGTCACAGATAACTCAACTGGCTCAGAAAGAAGCCAATTCAGGTCCAGCAGGGCTCATGAGCCCAGGTACAGTACAAGGAATGAAGCTATACAACTGCCAGCCCAGCTCAGCCCTGTAGCAAGTTAGCTAAATCTTTTTACTTTGAAAGAGTTCCCAAATTGTTCCCAAATTAACAGGCTTGATCTGGCAAGAGACACCTGAGAGAGTGTTGTCTGAACCGAGCTCAGGACTCCCTGGCTGAGCAAGCCCTCGCATAACTGACTGTGTTCTACCGCCAAGGACAGCAAACCTAGCTCCAGCAGACTGTTTGACAGCACAAAACACAAGCTTACAGTTTCATAATGCTATTTGGTCTGTAACATTTTAAAGACAGATGTTTGCTTGAGAGAGGTGCCAAGAAAAACAGTAACTCAAAAGGTGCAGGCAATATTGCTCATAACTTGTTAGATGTGTTGAGCATTACAAATAATCATGGAAAATGAGCAAAGAGCATCTTTTACCTTTATTGCTGCTATGTTTTTCTTCATTCTGGGCTACAGAAAGATATAATGCCTCCTTCTGATTAGAGAAGTTCGTTTCTTCTTCAGGATTTGAAGTATCGTGCTGGCCACTGAGTCTTCTCTTCTTTGTCAGTGGTTCTTCTCCCTCAGATTTCATACTGGGGTTAGGTAGGTGAAAGCAAGAACTCTGCATGAAGGTATCAAGCTGCCAATTAGAGTTCTGAAATTGTCTCCAAGGTCCAAAAAACGGAGGGAGTCTCCAGTTTGCTGAGAAATCAACCGGAACAGGAAGTGGAAAGGAGGCCCAGGGATAGTATCCAGCCCATCTCATACAGTTGGAAACTGGGCTGTTCAAGGCAAGTATCTGAGAACCATTCCAGTGGGCGATCCAGTCTCTGCCCAGCCTCTGCACATGACGGGGCAGCATGGAGTGACTACCAAAGAAAACACGTTTCATTACTTACACACAAATACACCCACCTGTCGAATCCTATGGATGCAAGTCATCCTGGTCACGACTTACACAAGATATTCTTTCTGTACAAGCTAACACATACAAGATATTCAAACCTTTTTAGATACATAAAATTTTAAATATCTTGTATGTAAATTATATGCAAAGTGGGACTTTACAAAGTGATCTTGTATCTTTTTTCCCCCTTCAGATTTACAAACGCCATGTAATTTTCAAACTCGACCCATCTGAATAACTATTTACAATTTATTTTCGCCTTGTTGAATTCAAATACCAGATCTTTCAGGTGCTCAGTAGAACGACCTTTACAAAGTGTCATTTTTTGCATGCTGCATTAACTTTATAATACGGCTGTTTGAAAGGAATCAGAAAACCACTTTCCTTCAAGCGGTCAGAAATCTGTGAAAAAGCCATTGACTTGTCTCAAACCACAATGCCAGCAAGACAGGGAAACAGAGGTACTAACTCTCACGCCATCTCTGGCACCAATTTATGGAGTAAATTTGTATTCTTATTTGTTCTCCTGGTGGGAAAACTGCATCTTAGTGATTACAGCCATAAAAATAAGGTGGGTTTTTTCTTTTTTTCCCAGAAAAAAAAAAAAAAAAGAAATAAAGTCTGAGTCTCAACAGAAGTGCAGGATGAAAAGATGAATGACATCGACTTGTCTCAGCTTCCTCATTGTTTAAATAAGAAGGCGTATGTTGAGTTTACAAACAAAAGAGATCAGAGCTTGGTGCGCCTGAAGTTGAACAGAAGCGAGAACCTCCTAGCTGCCCCTCAGCCCAGCAAATAAACCTAAATACAACTTTCAGCAAAACCACCTTGTCCTGCAACAGCACTTTCCACCACCGCGCACCAGAAGCGGCTCCACAGACACATAAGCAAAGCGCCCCGCAGGGCACCACGGCTTTTGGGATGGAGCTGGGAGGAAGAGGCACATCTCCTTAGCGAAGGCCCCCTGAAACACCTGCTTTAAGGGAAAAGCGCTGAGAAAGGATCCCTTCCTAAAAGCCCAGCCCCAGGCGAGCACTTCCCCACAACCACCTACCCCCGGCAAAGGAAAACCCCACGCCCGCGCTGTGTTTTTGTTTACCGCGGCCCTGCTCGGCCTAATGGGGGGTGTTTAAAACAAGTGACTGTCAGTCACCCCCGAGCCGGGCCGGGCCAAGCCGGGGGTTCTGCTCCCGCGGCCAGGCCGCTTCCCGGTACCCGTGTCTGTCCGTCCGTGTGTCGTCCCCCTCACCCCAACTGGGGTTGGGCTGGGACTCGAGGCCATCCATTAAGGGGCAGTTCCACCACCGCCGGAGCCGCGCCAGCCCCCGCACAGGCCGCCTCGGCCTCCGCCCGGACGCGGCGGG